CACAGTGTGTTTGGCAGAATCTCGCACAAAAACCACTTTATAACTCGCAGTTAGGCGCTGGTACGGCCAAGAAGCCTATCCCGTACGTGACTGGCTAGAAGATCGGGCCGCTTGCCGGTCCAGCATCAAGCCGAGGTCTGATTGGTCGAAAGTGTGGACACTACAGCCAAGCATGATCCGGTATCCGCCGGATGCCAGTTGCCAGTGTTGAGTCCAGAAGGCGTCCGAATTTCGAGAACATTATCACCTCATGCATGTTATATGCGACGCGTTGTACGAGTTTCTTTGACCTGGTTTTGGGCGTTTGATACACGTTGTGCACCTTTAGTGGTTCTTTTGACGAGAATGCTAGCTCAGAAGGTTCAGAACGAGAACTGAGCTGGGGCACTACACACAATAATACACAATGCTTTTAAGTGTTTTCAGCATTAGCTTAAACAGCTTGACTAATCTCCCTTAAGCCCTTCGGTAAACCTCACGGTACTCTGCTTGCACACCATTCACGGAACCATCTCTTTGCAGGTAAAACTTAGGTGTCAAGCTAAGCAGCATCAAAAGTGCGCGTCGCAGCTAACCAGTAGGATTAAACGTGGATTCTGGATATCCTGGCTAACCATAAAAAACAAAAACAGGACACCATGACATATTACCAGCATATAATAGGGTGTCAATGGCCGACTCCAACAGACTACAGTCAGGACTGTGTTGTACGGTTACGGGACATGTTATCTGCGTGCAGGCAGATGTCCTCAAGCCTTTGACCACCGATGTCCCACAAGGGTTGCCAATGTCAGATGGCGTCGACGAATCGAGGTAAGGAGGAAATAAGAGTTCACTTGTGCAGCAGGTACATCGGAAACCGGAAACACGGAAGATCGTCAAATGGGTGTGCTCGTCCGGGCACTACGTATACCGAATAGTCGCATGCGGGTCCCTGTCTTCGTGGCGTAAAGTGCAAGTAGTAGAACGTGTGACTTGGTAGAAGGGTGCGAATGAGTTTATGAGGAGTCTGGGCTTTGTTGTTACGGTTCGCCATCCAGGGTGGGTCCCCGTAAACTCCTCCCATGCCCTCGGCTAGAGACGTTGCAAGAAATGGCGTCCCATCGGTGCAAGTAGCTTTTGGGCTGTCAGTTTCTCTCCATACTGCCTGATCGAGCATCCGAAGGTGTGAGAACTCAGAGTGCTTGCCAAGGGCCATCAACAGACCCCTCCCTCATTCTTAATTTTGCATTTTTCCACTTTTAGGCCTTTAAATAAACCTTATGGTTTTACGGCAGTCAAGTGTCGACAACGATGTTGCTGTCTCTAATGATGCAGTATGAAATGAACTGCATGCGTCTGCTGTACTGGTGGAGAACTATGTTCGTTGAATCTCCAATTAATGGTAAAGCAACTTACTAATTACTTCCGCTGGTAGAAGTATACGTGTATAAAAACTCCAAGTGCCAATTCTGTTCCTATGTTTTCGGTCCCCTGGTTTGGGCATCCCGTGATTGTATCGATGACAACGTTGGATAAAAAGGATAATAGAAGGTCTACTTGGCCAATCCCACAGTTGTGGAAAAACGTTTATACAGTTGATCGTAAGTCGTAACACGACCAGGGGGTATTGGCCTCGACTGGTGATGCAGTGTTTGGAACCAAAATACCCACCTCAGCGAACGAGTCAACGACCAATACCACCACTGTTACCGTCGTTACCATCGCTATAAAGACCATATAAAGACCTTAGAAACACACCACTTACCTATTGGAAATCCAGCTTGATCCCCCAGGAAATTGCATCTCACATGCTACAGCTAGGCCTCACAGTATCAGGTAAGCTAAAAGCTCTATTCTGACAGGTGGGGCTTGTCTAAAGAAGAGAATTCGATCGTATCTACAGACAGCTATCAAACATCACAGTTTAATTCGAAAAAGCTAGGCAGCCTAAAACGAAAAAGATTGTAACAAACCTGTCTGCAAGAGAACTTAACGATAATGCACTTCTTCTGCTTCCGTATGCGATGCTTAACGCTGAAAGCAAATAATGTGATAGTGAGGACTGAACCAACCAGTCAGATTCAGAATTCAGAATGCTCTCCACTGACAACAACCAAGTAATTCTGACCAGTTTCGAGGAGACTCAGCGATCCATGCATCAACAGTCCGTGAGGGCAATGTCACAGTAATGCCGACCAAGGCTGATTATGTAGAAGAATTCGTCGAGCATCTCAACGGTACTTTGCCGGCAATGTCAATTCATCAGCTTGAAATAAGTAGGGGTAAAACTGTTCATGAATCCAGTGAACAAACCTTGCCCAGTGGAGGCCGCAAAAATCGATGGACTTGGGCGTATTCAGAGAAACAAGGAAGAATTGGCACCACAAAAGTGTACGAGCTGATGATCAAGACAATTGCGTCCGTGAACTAAGATGCGGGGAGTCTGAAACCAGTTACATAGACAAAATTAGCAATTACGGGATATAAAATACACGCATGTTTTCCATCTCAGCTCGAAAAAAACTGAAAAATACTCAGGAACTGCACTTCCTTCCTTGACAGACAACCACAAAGCGCTTTTTGAGCAAACCAAACTTCACTGTGGCGATCGGCCAAGTTCACCGCTATTTCAAACTCAACCCGAAATGGCGGTCAACAGCTCTCCCATGTGGAACGGACCAATCAACAGCACGCAGTAGGGATGCGTACATATAGTTCCCTCAGTTCCAACACAACCCACACGTCCAAACATAAGCCTAATCAGAATAGCTTCAGCGTTAACACCAGTTGGCACATGTTCTTTTGTCTACGTGATTTTGATTATTCCGCCTCTGATTAGGGTTGCCCGAGGTGAGTAATACAACTCTAACAAACTCATGTTCTTTCCCAAATGGTACAGTGATCAATATGGTACACACGGTGCCCAAAATATGCGAGTAACTTGTGTTGGACTTTGTACGGATACTCTCAAAGTGAGATTTATAACTCTTTGTTTGAAAAGGATAATCCGGATACCTGTTTTTGAACAAAGTACGACGGCTCTTTGGCTCCAGTCTCTTGGATCTCGTTCTTTCTGAACAGTTCCGAAGCGTCTCTGAGTAACTCTGATGGCCACCTAGCTCAGCAATCAGCTGGAGTTTCAAGGCAAACAAGTGCGCTTATACTTCATAGACTAAAGCGGGAGGTAAGCTAATAGGCCATGGCCCATTTTGAGTACATACAGTTGCAGCGAGCCAACTAAACTGTTTTTCAAAATGTTTCCTTCAGTTATCCAAACGATAACTTGTATTGTAGATCACATTTGCAGTATAATATCTGATCAACTCATTAAGACTTGTGTTGTGGGGTATCCGTCTATTGGCTACGCCTAACTGAGCCTGCTCGACTGTGCGATGAGGAGCCAGAGAACCCGAGACACATATATTATCGGGACAAACATAAAGAGCTTCTGCGTAAATATATAGGATGGTTAAATGGCCAAATATGGCCGTTCGCCTGTTCATTCTGTCCAGCCAATGGCGACGCTTCTGTCGTGAATCAGCTTCACACCCACTCAGCCGGTCGCATGCTGCTAAGTCGCATTTGGCAAGCTCCGCCAACGCACCTGCTATCCGGAACGTGTGGTGCCGACCATGGGGGCGCGTCGCACTCTACAGATGTACTTTTCGTGTCTGGACGCTTTCTGACACAGCTGATCTCCTAAGACGGTCGTTCGGACTAGCTGAAACTGCTCCCGTGCATTCCCGACTGTTCCAACCTCTTACGTACCCGCCTCTTTTCCGCATAAATATTTCTTTCGAAAGACCTGGTCGAATCACATTCTGACCCCGATTGGCCACAACATTTGACCTCACGGAGCGACAGTGATTGTTCTGGAATCCGCTGCTTTTTGTGTGGGATCTTCAAACGAACACAGGTGGAGCTTCCGGTGTTGTGCATAGCCGTGGTTATCTGCTACAAATAACGACCAGTGTCTTCCGACTGGGCTACTTGTTAAATAGTAATATATAGTAATATACAATTTCGTTGCTTGGGGAATTACCAGCTTCCAAATTTCACTACTCTGTCCGCCGTTCAACGGCAGCTCGAACAAACTCTAAGTTTGAGTAGCTTTTGTAGGGAAGTGTTGAAACGCCCAACCGAAGAATTGCTGCCATGCAATTAACACTATCCTGCCTGACGTACACCTCTTATTACCTTTGTTCCAGTTTTTTGAAACCTCTTCCGTAGCAGTCGATAGTGAGAAATCGGAAAGGTTTTCTGTAATCTTATAAATAGTGCTCGATAAAAGAAATATTTCGATATCCCAAATGCCTTTCTAACTGAAGCACGAGATGGTCACTGTGTAACCTACTCGGTTAGAGATCGATTTGGGATCCCGTTAACACGAAATTAATTTCTAAATGCATAAATAGCTCCATTCCCGTGGATATTGGTGTTTAAGCGAGAAACCGGGCTGGTGGAGACTCCAGCAGCACGAAGGGCGAAACCCGTAGTAAGCTGCCCGGAATTTTCATCGACCTTATGAGTAGTGCTGTGAGCCGTAGAGGCCAGTTGAGCAATCCGCTGATGGTTCGCAGGGCAATTGTTCTGCGTCGGCTCACAGGTTTTCTAGCTGTTGTAAGGCGGCTAATCGTGAATATTTACTACTGTACATAACGATGATGACCCCATCGGTTCAGCACAGACGACTAACGACACCTACTACCATCAGGCTCAACCCTGGTAATTCAACACAGAGTATGACGGCGAATAAATCACCTCAGGAAAAGTACGGTATGAACAACAGGCATACCGAAAGAACACCTATGTATGGAATACAAGAGTCCTGTAGGCAAAAAAACGTTCCGAAACACTATAGAGGCTGAGTTGTATTCCCGACAACGACATACACAAATGACACTAAATTCAGTATCAGTCAGTTGTCCGCCTGTGTCACTGGATTGCTGCTGTCCAACATGTAGGAGAGTAGCCAAATCACCAAAACTAGCTCCGCCCAATCGTGGAGAGAGAACAGAATACCATAATTCGATTACTCTCATTTCAGTCCTCAGCAAATCGAGTAGTTCCCACAGTTAGTCAGTCAATTGCACATCTCTGTGTGGATGAAACAGCGTTACACATGTATGTACAAATACGGTAGAAGGAGGAGGGATATCACTACGGTCACGTGCACATGAGCGCGCGTAAATTTACACTACAAAAGTCGAATAATAAGTGTATATAGTAGGTATGTACGTAGGTGTGTAGTGGTTTCGTCATGGTGGTCATTTCAGCAGTCACTGTCCGGGCGTGGTTGCACCTTCAAAAACAAGAAAACAGACACCAACTACAACAACGAGCACCGTCGAAACCCAGGGGATAGCGCACAAGGACCGTAACATCGTGCAAGTACAAGTGTGTAATTCGATAGAAAAATAGATCCACGTTCACAAAAGTTCTTGATCGTGCGACCGTATAAATAACCAACCGACGAGTGTGTGTGTGTGTGTTGAAAGACGGCGGGCAAATATAATGTTGAGGTGCTTGTTGACGTAAACCCTACTGATGCAGTTGTCTCTTTTCGTTGTTACGTATTCATAAAATGACCGCCAGTAATTTCCGTGCGGTTCGAAAGAGTCAAGAGTTCGGCAAAAAGACACGGAGAAGATGGGTGGCCAGAATGAACAAAAATCTGTCCGAGCGAGCTGGAAGAGAAAACAAGAGAAAACGACCATAGTTCACACGCTTGTCAGAAAAAGCACTTTAAAAATATTACGCAAAAAGTGCAATAAGCAAATCGTATCAGGAACAAGCAAATGCGGGCCGTGCGACGGGCTCCAAATCTACTTACTGAATTGAATAACAGAACACTGAACACTGAAAAACCAAAGTAATAAGCAAAAGGTT